AAAACTAAATTTTATTACATATATTCACTGTAGAAAATCTGGAAAGAGAAGTACAAAGAAATAAATCACTGGTAATTCTTCCTGTCTGCTTTTTATTAACATTTTCCTATATCATCAATTACTCAGATAAAATTTAATGTCTCCACAATATTCCATCTGACGACACTGTATTTTAAGCAATCATTTCCCTACTGAACATTAAGCCAATTCAATTATTTGTCCTCACTCTTTAACAAATTCCCTTATAAAGTGTGATATTCATCAAATTAGAAAAAAGTCAAATAATTTCATGTCCCATCAGTGTACTGCAATATCTAAAAACCTGTCTTTCTATAAATACAAAATAATTAGTTCTTCCACCAAAAAGGAAAACAATACCATTCACAGTAACAGCCAAGAAAAATTAAATACTTAGGAATTAATCTAAGCAAGGAAGTGAAAGACCTATACAACAAAAACTACAGTACTATATATACTCCAATACAGGGAGATCAAAGAGGACATCAGGAAATGGGAGAGAAACCACCTCCCCATTCCAGTATAGGCAGAACTAACTTTGTCAAAATGGCCATATTCCCAAAATTGATACATAGATTTAGTGTAATCTCAATCAAAACACCAACATTCCTTATAGACCTAGAAAAGAAAATCCTAAAATTTATATGGAACCAGAAGAGACCCAAAATATCAAAAGCAATCCTGGGTAACAAGAGCAAAGGAGAAGATACAAGAATCCCTGATTTAAAGTTGTATTACAAAGCTATAGAGATTAAACAGCATGGTACTGGCACACTAATAGACATGTGGATCAATTAATTAGAATATAAAGGATGCAGAAACATCCCCAATCACATTCAGCCACCTGATCTTTGACAAAGGGGCCAAAAACATGCTGGAGGAAAGAGAGCCTTTTTAACAAATGGCACTGGGAAAAATGGCTAATCACATGCAGAAGAGTGCAGCTACACCTTGGACAAAGGATTAATATCCAAAGTGTAGGTTCCTCAAAAAACTGTAACTGGAAATTCCATTTTACCTAGCTATTCCCTCCTTCTAGGTATCTTCTGAAAGAGTTAAAGACATCATATTACAATGAAACATACATACCTGTACTTATAGCAGTACAATTCATAATAGCTAAATCTCGGAAGCTGCCTATATGTCCATCAACAGAAATGAAAAATGTGGTATACATAATAAAGGATAAATTTGAGTCATTTGTAGAAAAATGGATGCACCTCAAGTACAAAATGTAAGCCAAATAGACAAACATGCTTAAACATCATATGCTTTCTTTTACATGAGAAAAGCAAAGTATAAACAAAGAGCAAAAACCAAAGACAGACAATAGGAGGAAATAAGAGTATACTGGGGGCAAATGAGAAGGGGGAACTAAGAAATGCTGGAGTGGGAGGAGAAGGGGATGTAAAAAAAATTAAGATATGCTATGTACATGTCCCAACTACCCACAAGGAATGTATTCACCGTCTACCATAAACACGTACTAAAAAAAGACTTGGAAATTCTTGTTAAAAACATTAGAATCGTCTTTATGGTATAATTCTGTGAAATTCATTTCCCAATACAATGAAATTAAACAAATCCAAAAATGTATCTTCACAAAAGTCTAATTTTTCTTAAAATTAAAAAATCCTAATCCCAGCACTCAGGAGGCTGAGGAAGGAGGATCGTTGTGAGTTCAAGACCAGCCTGGGCTACACAGTGAGTTCCAGGTCAGTCTCAACTACATAGTGAGACCCTGTCTCAAAAACCAACAAATAAATAAATAAAAAATAAAAAATCCTCTCTCACCTCAGCTTTTTTAAATATCTCTTCCCCAACTACTGCTGCTCTCTCCTCTCATACCAACATAATCCACATTACTTTTCATGGACCTTTTTTTAAACATGTGAACACAGAGTTTCCTCTCACTGTGATTCTAAGGAACATGTAAACAAAATCTTACTGAAAGAGAAAACAATTTTTTCGCAATTACTTTACATAGTTCATTCAAAATAATTTTACTTTAGGATTTAGAGTATGACTAGACGAGTTTTCTGCTTACCAATCCTTACCTGTCTAGATGTTTTTATGTAGGGATGGAGATAGTAGATAAAACATTTATTCAATGATGGGACATCAAAGGACAGAGTGTTTCCATACTTTTTTAGGACCATTATAAGATAGGAGGAATCTAACTTAAAATCCTGATAAAGTTTGGATGAAGAAAGAGAAATACTTGCTGTATATCACCATTATCACCAATATTTCCTCTAAAAACAATATGCTCAGGAGCCGGGGATTTAGCTCAGTGGTTCGATGGCCTGCCTTGCAAGGACCTGCGTTCAATCCCAGGTATCCAAAAAAAAAAAAAACTAAAAACAATATTCTCAAGAGCCAACCAAAGTAGTATTAATTGCATATGTTTCTGTAGTGACTATAGAGATCCTCTCACCTAATACAAAATCTTTTTCCTCAGTTTTCATCTTTTCACCCAGTTCACCTTGGCATTAATGTTCACGGGGAGCTATGCACTACTGGCATTTAAAAATATTCCCATTTAACCTCTTTAACTACGTATTTATTTTACTACTCTGACATCTACTTTGACTCCCCTTCTTGATTCACAGCCATTTCACAACAGTATCTTTTCGCTATTCTATTCCCCTATTAAAATTTGTATGATCTCAAGTTTGTTAATTAAATAAAATCATTTTAGTTCTTTCCCCATAACCATGTAAATAATTTTTCTTGTATTTTTCCAAAACAAAAATCTAAGGACTACAATTTTACCTATCATTCTTCTTCCTGGACCCTAATGAGTAGGTAGGAAGAGAATAGAGAAATATCATAAGTTGATATACACGCAAAGAGGCACATTTAATGACTTTAGCATCATGGACTTTGAAGCCAAAATATGTTAAGTTCAGGTCTCAGCTCCATGATCTTCAGCAAATTAATATGTGTCTTCTTGAACCTTACCTGAAAATTGTGTTGAGTAACAGTACATATCCTCAGAGACATTATAAAGAGTATAGACTTAAGAATTTTGGGCTTTGTTTGTACTTACTTTTGAGATATGATTTATATATTTTGAAATACAATTTCTAAAAATCTACCATTGTAGAGCACTGTAATATTGATTATGCCCAAAGTAGGTTGTGAAGAGTTAACCCCACAATTGACTTGCTTATAGAAGTGAGGCTGGCTGAAGCCTATATGCCAAGATCAGAGTAACTCACATCCAAATTCCGTTCCCACAACTAAAACCTTCAGACTAGAAGGACAATGTTCCAAGTACAATCATATTTTGTTTATTCTGTTCCTAATTCAAGAATGCTTTGTCTTGTCCTTTATGAGCCTTGTTTATATTAATTTCCACAGAAACCACAGTTTACCCCAACTGACTACCAATAAAAGTCAGTGCCTGGGACTGTGTAGCACCTTTGTCAGTTGCATCAACACTGGTTGTCCTGGCACCCTGCCTTTTCTCTCTTAGTTAAATCTCTTAGTGTATTTATTCCTCAGTGATGCGTCGCACACTGGGCAGGTGAGTAGTGGAACCTGACTACAGGAGTCTCTGTCATGCCATTTAGTGGATTCTAGTATACTCAAGGTTGTATGGCCATCACCACTAACGCATATCTCTTTACCCCCCGAAGAAACCCGATCATTCATTAGCAAACACTTCTATACCCTCCCTCTACCATTCTCCTCCCCAAGCACATGGCAACCACTAATTTATTATCTGTCTCTATGGATTTACCTATTAGGGACATTCATATCAACAAACTTTCCATACTGTGTTCTCTGTTATGTAGCCTTTTGTGATGGGCTTTCAAATAACATAATGCTTAGAAGGTTCACCTTGTAGCAAATAACAGTATTTCATTACTTCTTATGGCAGAATAGGATTTCAATGGATGGATATACTTACATTTTATTTACTCTTTATCAGCGAATAGAGATTTGGGTCGTTTTTTACTTTTTGATGTTATGAATAAATAAATGCACTCATGTAAAAGTTTTGTGTGATATATATACATTGTTTTGTTTTGATACAGAGTTTCAAACAGGTAGTTAGTTCAGGCTGGCCTCAAACTTGTGATCCTCCTGCCTCAGCCTCCCATGTGCTGGACTACAGGTGTTTAACACCATGCCTATTTTCTGTATTCTTGAGTAAATACATAAGAGTACAACTGCTAGGCCATATGCTAACACTATGGTCCATTTTTTGAAGAACTTCCAAGCTACTGTGTCTATAAAAAGTGAACCTATTTAAACATGTAAGTTTTATCTTTGTACTATTTTCAAACATTATTATAATAGAATTATAATGTTTTATTAAGACAATGACTTCAGATCTCAATCACTAAGATTCATTCAACCCATAAATGTTCTATCGTGGAAAATAATCCCTAAGGTAAGACTTCATCCATTACTAAGCATCTTAGTCAACAGACTTAAAGCCTATAGTAAAAATAGAAACAATTTTCTAGAAACAGATTCGGGCTATTTGTGTATAATACAGAAAGAGCTTTCAAGCGTTTATTAAATAGTTGATTTTGATATCAATCTCTTATAGTGAAAAAACTGAATTTGAGTATGTTATGAAAAGTCTAAAATATTTCATGATAAACATATCCCTGCCCCAGGCCAGGTATTTAGTTCAGTGCTTCCGGCGTATGCCTTGCAAGCGCAAGGACCAGAGTTCGATCTCCGGTACCCCCCAAAAAAGTTCATGTCTCCAAATTAAGACAAAATATGCTGAAAAATATTAAACCCAAATTAATTCTACCAAAAGGAAACAAAAACTTAAGTTAGTTGATAACAAATAATTTATATAAAAATGCTCTAGTAGAGTAAATATAAAAAGCAAAATTAACTCACAATTAGTTTTACCTTTTAGGGGTAATAGTGGCCAAAACCAAAAATGACTGTCTAATGAAAAGAATGTATATGAGTCTTAGTTGTAAGATTTCAGAAACCAAATGACTTACCTATGTATACTCTCTTGCTGTATCTCTGCATCAGTAACAGCACAAATACATGCAATGGAATAAGGTTGATGATAAACACATACCCACCCCAAGCAGAGACCTGTGAGAAAAGAAATACCAAGATAAGTAATTTTTAACTTTCTAGTATTTTGTACTTTTCAACATAGGTAATTTTTATTTGTCATAACAATTATATATATAATGAACCAATGTAAGTAAAAACACTAGGATTTTTAGCAATTTTGAGACATATGAAATAGGTTTATATAACATATATAACCTATTTCTCCTTATTTTTCTTGATACTTAAAAACAACATCCCATAAATGCAATAAGCTTTTCTAAATTCAATGTGAAAATACTTGAATTAAATTAGACTTAATAAGGAAAGTTGAGAACATTATAATTTGTGAACTGGCAGTAAACAGACAGTCATGGAGACAAAATTCCAGAACACAGACCATAAAAATTTTTAATTTATTAAAAAAAAAAAAAAAAAAAAAAA